CACCGTATTATCACCGGGTATCATACGCTATGTAAATTTAAATTTTGAACTCTAGACATACACAAATTATGGTCGCTTTGACCATAACGAGCAGGTTATGGGTTACACGCCCCCAGAGATTAGAGAATGGTTGGATAAAAAGTTTAGAGGTGGCGTGATATTAACATCGGTGGTGGATTTTGAGGTAGCGCATCACCGAAGAGCAACGATGGGTCCAGGATATTCTTGTCCGCAATGCTGGAGGTTAATTGTGTGATCAAAAGACTATATGAAATTTTCTTTTCCTCCTGTGTGTGCCAGATGAAATTCCCCCCCACCCCATATCACATCTCCATCTATATCTAAAGTGTGTCGTGTTGGTCCCACCAACGGCAACTACAAGTAGCATGTTGGAGACGTCGGAGAACTTTGTGGTATTGCGTTTGATATTTCGCCACCAGACTAGGATTTACTCTAGTACACTTCAAACTCTAAACAGGGACTAATTAGGATCTTTGACAGGTCAGCAGCGATAAACAAGTGACTAGCTTGGAAGCGATACATCTCTAACTTAGCCGTGTGTGAAAGAAGACTGAGGAGGAGTGCTGAAATAATCCATGTTTTTCGATACCGGGCGCTAAGAGCATCGTTTGGATGCTACTTTCTCCGACACACTAGTTCATCGGGGATTCTCTCTGTAGACTCGGCCTGTTTTGCGGAAAATCTTGGATTCTATATTATACCGGACTCGACAGAGGAGTTATTCACCAGCAAATTCACGGCTCCTTGAATTACGGCTTCAGTTAACCGTATCGAGGTATTTTTTTTTTTGCGATTTTGCCCCTCGATCACTAGAATGTTGGGGCGGATCACGGGAAATGTGGGTCAACGCTCAACCATAATGAGAGCACGACCGGAATATCGGGCAGTCTCGATAAATGTCGGATAATGTAGCCCCCGTCCTCGCGTGATCTAGTACCGTCAGAGATTGCCGATGGAGCTTTCTGGTAGGCGTCAGCGAGGAGAATTGCCGTATGCCATAGTTCTACAAGTTGAGTGTAACGTAAGATTTTCGAGATATCCATTCAGAAGGTTCGCTAAGAGTGTGTAACCTACTCTACGCACCGAACTATCGGACACCACCGCGGGCGCTCTGTGGCTTCCTTTCATCAGAATGCAAGATTTGTGCTGTGCCACGTGATAACAACAAGAGAGTTGTAGTATGGTATTTCTTACCATCAAACCAATTCAGCAGGCGCAAGCCGGACGTTGCTGACGCCACTTTAAAGTATTTGGACGCCTTGGAATTATTAGCATCTGTCTGGGCGCCAAAGCGTCTGAATACTTTATAAATGGCCGAGTAAGACGGCACCGAGGTATCCGCAAGGTTCCACGAAAGACCCCGCTTTTTTTTTCGGCCCCAGGGAATTCTAATACTGGTAGTCGCCTTACTCCATCATCCGTCATTGACAACATCCTAAGCAGCAAAAAATAGAAGCTGTCGCAATCTCTCACTAATAATATCAAATCTTTTAACAGCGTTAACGTGTTGAAAAATTGTACCATTGCCGACGACCGGTCTCAAATCTTGAGCTGGTTGTCACTAGAAGAACCAGGGTTACGGCAATGGGACTTGCAAGGAAATCGTGTCGAAAATGTGGGAGAATGGCTACTGCAAACCGAGGAATTCAGAAACTGGTACGCGGGCGGCGGGGGGGACGAATCCGATAACGCGGTATTGTTTTGCTACCGATATCCTGGGGTGGGCAGGGCTTTCATCAGGTAGCAAGCTGGATTATCGAGGAATAGAAGAGAAGATGCGAATGCTAACTAGTAGTAATATTAGCTCAATGGTGATAGATAGGTTGTGTGATCGGCCCAAAGGACAAAATGGCGCCGTGGCGTGTTTTTATTTCGACTTTGTCGCCCAAAAGGAGCAGTTCCCGACGAGTATGATGGGCGCCCTGCTCAAACAGGTCGCAAGCGGAGTGAGAGGGGTACCGGGGGAAGTAGTCGAAGCCTACGAAGACCAGAAAAAGGTCATCGGTGGACAGGTACCGCAACCTTTGGATATTGTAAAGATGCTACCGACTACTTCTTCCAAAACGCGCACGTTCATATGTATTGATGCTCTAGATGAGTGTGTGGCTGGACATCGGGTCAATATCCTCGATTCGCTAAATCAGGTTCGCCAAAAGTCACCGGATACACGAATATTCGTGACGGGAAGGCTGCACATTCGACCTGATATCGGGAGACGTCTTGGTAGAAGAGGGGAGAGTGCATCTATAGTCCGAAGAGATATGACGTTATCAGATACCTTGGCACCAAGGTAGACGAGGACACAACGCCAGAGGCAACAGTAGCCTGGAGGCAGATATCCTGAAGAGAGTTCTCGAGGACATCTCCGAGATGTATGTACAGTAGCAACAACGCACCAGGGCGGCTGCTTCATGGTATGTGAGTCTGACGGATGTTTGTCTAGATTCCTTCTCGTCTCGCTCAATATCGATGCCATCCTTCAAGAAACCACAATCTATCGCAGGCGACAAAGGCTCAGCGCAACAACCGATGGCTTAGGGTTGGAGGATGCTTATGATGCAACCCTGGGTAGGATAAAGGGAGAGAGTGGGGAAAAATCGAGGCTCGGTATGGCCGCTGAATTGTGCCACGCTCTAAGTGTCGAGATCGAGGTACTAAATCTTAATACTGACAATGTTCCTGCGATAGAGACATTGCTAGCCTGTTGTCAAGGGCTTGTTATCATAGATAAGCAGGCTTCTACTGTCAGGCTACTCCATTTCGCCCTTCAAGAGTGACTCTGGGCTCATCCCCTGATTTTCGGTACAGCTCACGCGATAGTGGCGGAGACTTACCTAGGTTCCCTCAATTCCTCACGAGTTAAGGCTTTTCCCCCTCGTTCCACACCCGATTTTTGAGACACCCTTTCCGGAATATTCTTCCCTATATTGGGGAGCCCACGCAAAAAGGGACCTTTCGGATTGCGCGAAATTGCTTGCACTGAAGCTATTTGACGACTACAGTAACCATGTATCCGGTAAACTCCTCCTAAGAGCACAGAACACGTGCCCGCACATTGCGGATCCCGATAAGCTTTTCAAGTTCAGTGGTCTACCTTGTGCATCACTTTTCCGGATTGTTGAGATCGTAGCTACTCTGATGGGGGTGGAAGGCTGTGATATCAACGAAGTGGACTACCCGGGTAATTCACCCCTCATTTGGACTGCTTATAATGGGCACAAGGAGGTGGTGGAAATCCTACTTGACCGGAAAGATGTCGGCCCCAACAAACAAGGCAACTACGGCAATATACCTCTCATGTTGGCTGCTTGGAGTGGGCAAGCGGGAGTGGTGAAAATACTACTCGGACGGGAGGACGTCGACCCCAACAAACCAGATAGGGAGGGCAAAATACCACTCGATTAGGCTGCTCTGAATGGACGCGAGGCAGTGGTGGAATACTACGCGGCCGGGAGGACGCCAACCCCGGCAAGCCGGATAATAGCGACCGAACGCCACTCTGGTGGGTAATTCAGCGTGGCCGCGCGGGAGTGATAGCGCTAATACAACCCCCCGCGTCTGCCACTACTAGCATGGCCTAAGTCTGCGGATTCATTACCCCCCTTACCGCATTCGAACACGCATTATCTAGCGCCGGTTTCGCAAGGCCACAATGACTCCAGGAACATGCCAATCGTCCGGGTTGTCTCTCTCCCCTCATTATCGCTCGTTTCCCTCCTGCAGTTTGGGGCCCTTCTCTGCGGTGGTTGCCCCGGCTCCTTTCCCTTCAGCGTGGGCTTGTCGCTGGGACTTGGGTTGAGTGTTTTGCTTTTGATCGCAGGAAATTAGATGGGAAAGGCGTAGATCTTTCGAATACCTGCTAAACGTGGATACGGATTTCTTATGTAGTCGA